TATTTAATTTGACAAGAACCGTCGGGTTCGGTTCGGTCGGTTCGGTTCGGGAGATTTACCCAACCCTAGATATAAACTCTACAATCCAAGCACCAAAAAGGTTATCATTAGTGTAGATATTGAATTTAATGAAGAAGATTCATAAAGATGGGACACTCATGAAGATGACTATGATTTTCCTTCAATGATCGAAGAAGAACAAGAAAAGGAAGTAGAGCAAGCAAGAGAAAAATGCAATAGCATACAACTCCACCTCATTCACCACAAGCAAGTCCTCGTGGATACTTACGAAGTGGAAGTTCAAGATCAGTCACACCACCAAGGAGACCATGGACAAGGAGCTTACAACAACTATATGAGGTAACCAAAAATAAAAATAAACTAACACATTTTTGTCTTCTTGCGGATTGTGAGCCAATAGGTTTTGAAGAATTCGTGCAAAGCACGAAATGGCGAGATGTCATAGATGAAGAAATTAAAGCAATCTTAAAAAATGATTCGTCGGAGCTAGCAACACTTCCAGAAGGTCAAAGGACTATTTGAGTAAAATGGGTGTATAAAGTAAAGAAGAATGATAAAGGAGAAGTTGCAAGACAGAAAGGAAGATTGGTAACCAAAGGATGTAATCCAAGACTCGACATCGACAATTACATTAGTAAAGAACCTTGTGTTTCATCATTGATACAAGGTATCAATTCATAAGAGAGAGCATAAGAAAAAAGGAAGTAGAGTTGAAATCTATGAAGACTCAAATCAAGTAGCAGATATATTTACCAAACTGCTGAAGTGCGAAGTATTTTTCAAGATGGGAAATGCACTTGGAGTGATCAAATCAAGTTTAAGGGAGCTTGTTATAAAATAAACTTAATTTGGACTATTTTATTATTTTTAGGCTGGTTAATTATTATAATTAAGTGAGTTCATAAGCCCATATCTAAAATAGTCCATATTCTAGAAAAGTCATGCTCTAGAATAATCCACTATCTAGAATTATCTTATTTTAGAAAATATTTAGTTAATATTAGTAGGTAGTTGGAAGATACATTTATTTTGGTATGTAGAAGAGTTCATTGAGCCTATGAATAGAGTTGCTCCCTTGCCATTCGTAACAAGCCAATTTATAAACAATACACTACAAGTCCCTTCTTCTACCTCTTCAACCTCTTAAAGATTCTTATGAAGTACTATTCAAACAAGTTATTTTCCTAACATAGAACATACAAAGAAGACATGAGAACATATCATAGTACAAACCTGATGTCATCATTAACTTTTTGATTGTTGGTTCAACCATCGGGAAATTATCGACAAATAGAAAGACATGCTTTTGATGATAATTGTTGCTTGAAGTTGAAAAGAAGATTGAGAGCCATGCTTTAATAGCAGAATGTTGGGACCGATGAAGACAACGCAAGAATTGAGATTTGATGAACCCAATATGAAGTATAAATAAAGATCACAAAATAACCAAGAACAAGATTAAAGTAAAAGATGCAAAATAAAAGGGTACTGGCAGAGGAACGATATTATTTTATTCAATCACTATGAAAGGAGATAATTACAGCAATTGGCTTCAACAATATTGAAGAGGAGTCCTATATTTATACTACATGAGTCTAGTCCTAGGAATTGGCAAAAGATGGAAATTAAGAAAAAAAGAAACGTGTAAACAAAGAAAAAAGAGAAAAAAATCTGCATAGACACGTGAAAAGGGAACACGCCACTTTCCCTATTTCTTTGGAATTGATTCCAATTTGATTCTTTCATATTTCCACATGGCTCCAATAAGATTTTCTTTCCTTAATTTGCAAAATACAACTTTGATTCCCTTTCCTTTTCTCTGCCACTTCCAAAGACTCCTAATTTGAGTCACAATTTAACAATTTCCACCTTGATTCAAATTCTGGTGCAATGAATGAAGCTCCAAATTTCTCCACCTGGAAAAATGATCCGTCTGCATCAGAATAACCAAGCTCCTCGACACAGTAACCAAACTCTCCACGAAAACATGTTTCCCCGCCCGGCGTCCACAAGCGACTCCCGAACCCAAACTCGGGTTCCCAAAATTTCACCTGGAATTAATAATCACTAGACAGGGTCGAAACACACCCTGTAGCAGAAACCACACCAAATGCACGATCAGAAGGCCCCTTGCTAGAAGTGTCACCTTCAATGATCCCTAAGGCATTACAGACATTATTGACACCACTAAACCTACACTCCATGAGTCCACTAGCACAAGAACAAAGTGTATCTGCTGAAATTGGTGGTAAAGCAGAATCACCAACACTCCCACTAGCAAAGTTCGAAATTGACCCAGAGCTTAACACAAGAAGTAATGTACCAAACTGAATTTCCACCACAGTACTAAACTTGTTCAAATGTCTCTGAACTGGTTCTGCGCTTCCCTACAAAATGTACAACTAGGATCTCATCCGTCCCTCCAGTACAACTCGAACACCTTTCTGAACCTTCAGGACTCCACCTCCACCAGAAAATTTATACCCTTTTGCATCCAGGGTACTCAGCGATATGAGATTTTTTGTCAAGTTTGGAACATGGCGAACCTGATCAAGTGTCTTTAATGTCCCATTTTGTAGCCTCAATCTGACCCGACTGATTCCTACAACCCGGCAAGATTGGATGTTTTCCATGACAACTCCACCTTGTTTCACCGTTTCATATGTCTGGAATAACGGCCTATTAGGACACATATGATACAAACATGCAGAATCCAGAATCCACTTCTCTAGATTTGGATTCCTCATCAGATATAGCCAACATCACATCTCCATCATCAGAAAAGTTTTCAACTACATTGGTTTCGTCCAAATTACAAGATTGCCCCGAATGATTTGCATGTAAATTACCTTTACGCTGCAACTTGTCACAATCTTTCTTCAAGTGTCCTTTCCACTTGTAGTAGAAGCAAAACAAATTGCTGAATTTCACCTTTGACGTACTGCTCTGTCGTCCACCATGAGTAACCAGAGCATCCATACCTCTAGATGTAGGATCTCCAACCAACAACTACATCTTCTCCTTTGAGAACAGGGCGTTGTATACATCCTCAATGGTTAGCGTGTCATGACTATATAATATAGTATCACGAAACGACGAATAAGAGCCAGGTAATGAACACAATAGGATCAAGGCCAGACCCTCTTCATCATACTTTACTTCCAACGTCTTCAGATCTGCAACGATTTCCTTGAACATAGCAAGATGGTCCTGTAGTGACCCTCCTTCCACCATGCGATGAGAATACAACTTCAGTTTTAGAGTCAGTTTGCTCGTTAGACTCTTTGTCATGCACAATTGCTCTAGCTTGAGTCACAAAGCAACCACTGTCTTTTCCTTCAAGACATCCTGCGGTATATTGTTGGACAAATGAAGATGAATCAATGATGTAGCCTTCCTATCCTTCCGTTGCTTCTCCTCCATAGACCAATTTGTTGGCATCTTCTCAAAACCCAGCAAAACATCATCAAGTTCTATCTGCGTTAACACAGCCCTCATCTTTACTTGCCATAGCGAAAACCTTGTATTGCGATCTAGCAGCGGAATATCATACTTCATCGAAGTCATCTCTCAAAAGCCTAAATTGAATCACGAAGAACTTGCGACCTTGCTCTAATATCACTTGTTGGGACCAATGAAGACAACGCAAGAATTGAGATTTGATGAACCCAATATGAAGTATAAATAAAGATCACAAAATAACCAAGAACAAGATTAAAGTAAAAGATGCAAAATAAAAGGAAACTGGCAGAGGAACGATGTTATTTTATTCAATCACTATGAAAGGAGAGAATTACAGCAATTGACTTCAACAATATTGAAAGGAGAGTCCTATATTTATAGTACACGAGTCTAGTCCTAGAAATTGGCAAAAGATGGAAATTAAGAAAAAAGGAAACATGTAAACAAAGAAAAAAGAGAAAAAAAATCCGTTGAGACACGTGAATAGGGAACACGCCACTTTCCCTATTTCTTTGGAATTGATTCCAATTTGATTCTTTCATAATTCCACATGGCTCCAATAAGATTTTCTTTCCTTAATTTGCAAAATACAACTTTGATTCCCTTTTCTTTTGTCTGCCACTTCCAAAGACTCCTAATTTGAGTCACAATTTAACACAGAATGGATTTGGAATTGTTGAAATTGAAAATGGGAGTAGAAATAAGCACTCAAATGCAGAAGAATCCAATCCATTGGGAAGAAAGTGATATTGATATATTATTGAGTAATGAATCAACAATAATCCTCTGTTTGGTGTAGAATTAGAAACCTAATTAGCTATCCTTAACAATCTTCAGATAGGTGGTTGACCAATGCTTTTGTTCATGTCTCCCACGGAGCTGCAATTTGTTCTGTTAATTTTTAACCATTTTTTACGTGGGAAAATAAATCAGGGGTTACCCAAGTTGTGTACCAACTTTGAATGGGACATGTAATATAAATATCGTAATTGAGGTTGTGTATCCATGATAAGGCCATGATTGTGGACAAGTATGCTAGGATGTTAGATTATAAGTTAAAAAATAGACAAACATTCAAACATCTTGTTCACGTTATGTTTGTTATCGTAGAAATGAAGTCCTAAAATTAGTAGGTAGACAAGGATTTGGAAACTCGCGAACACATTATGAATGATTTATGATTACAAATAATAATTGGTTAAGTAGGTATCATATCTAATCCCCTTATCAAATCACTTAAAAGCAACAAAAGTGGGTATGTCTTTATCCAATATTTTCTTTAAAAACAAGTCAACTTTTGGGTTTTTAGTTGAATTTCATCAAACCATGTTGAAAGTAAGATCGCGTCTTTAATATTTAATTACCAATTTGATCTTCTTACATAACAAAGATATAGCGAAAGGGACAAGTGTAAGAAGGATGCAATCTCAAAGCGATGAAGTAAAATAAAGAATAAAAGGTAGCTTTTGATGTTATTAATTAGAGACCATCAGACCAATCAGTATATGTAATAGAGATTATTGTCTGAAAATTCAAATCTTATTGTTGACAGTTAAAGAAAGTTCTTCTGTATTTCAAAACCATTTTAAGATCCAAACCAAATAAATCACAGTGGCATATATGGTAGAGTAAATTGGATAACAATAAAAAAGATTACAAAAATAAAATAAGTTAAAATTTTCATTGTACTGATGAATCCTATTAATTTCCTCGAATTCTTGTACTGATGAATCCTATTAATTTCCGCGAATTCTATGTGCCAAGAGTGTACGTCTTGGGTGCAAACCTGGACTTTATTTTCTCAACTTCCTTGGTACCAACTTGGAATGCCTTTGTCAAAACGTTGTCGGGTACCGGTGGTGATGCGGCAAACAATGTGGCAGCGATCGACTGAGTTCCGGGCAGTTGGCTATTGAATGCAGCAATCACGGAAGCTGGAACTTTGCCATTATTCTTCTGGAAATGGACTAAGCCTTTAGGGAATGTGAAAATTTGACCTTTCTTGATACACTTGGAAATTAGGACATTGGCTGTGGTTATGAATCCCACATCCAGTTCACCTTTGAGCACGAACACTATCTCGGTGGCGCGTGGGTGGGTGTGGGGTGGGTTAAGGCCGCCTGGTGCATAGTCAATGCGTGAAAGGGACACTCCTAGAGTGTTTAGGCCCGGGATTTTCTCGACATTAGCGGCGGTTACACGTGATCCCGTGGTGGTGTTGGTGGCGCCAGGCTTGGCTAGGCCAGCAAAAAAGAAGTCCTCTGCTGTCACATTAGACTTGCAAGCAAATCCATTCACTTTTACACCTATTTCACATATTCAACTTGAATTAATCTTTTGAAAACTCGAATAAAAAACAAAGAAAACAAGAACCATATCATCTAAAATCTTAAAAATTTAAAGAGGAAAAACCCTTTTTTATAAAAGAGACGTCACAATTTTCATAGACTATCAATGACAAGACTTGATTCATGCACACCGTACTACCATTTATAACCATTCGAGAAATAATACGTGTACAGGAAAAATGCACAGACAATTTTATAGGTTTTAAGATAGCAACACTTGATTGACTATTTTAGCTATTTTTTTGTCCAAAATTTAATGAAATATTGTCACATTCTATAAACCCATTTGTGCATTTCATTGGTACACGTAGCATTAATGCTCGTAACCATCCCATCTAACATAACATCTTTATGCACAGTCCAAAGTAATAGGAAAATTTCTCACTTTGTGTATTGATTCAATGAACCTCTATATCATTAAATACAAGAATGGACACACAATTGTCCCACACGGACTTTGCTACACAAATAGGGTTGAAGACAAGGTTTAAGAATAAGAGACGCGTGTCAAATACTGATTATTCAATTTTTTTTTTTTTAAAAGAAGGTCTAGGTGCTAATCGGAGCACATGTTTTCAAATCCAGTCATTTTCACTTATTTGAGTAGCTTTATCCCACACTATTACATACATATACAGTGTGTGCGCGTGAGAGAGAGTTGATGGATACCAGAAGATAGATCAGCAACACAAATATCTTGAAGCGAATCTGGATCAGCACAAACTCTGGTCAACATCATCACGGTGGCCACCGCCATTACTAGCACCACTCCATCATAACCTGCCATTTATCTTCTGTGTAAAGGAATTAGTATACAAAGAAAGCGAGGAAAAGTGGGTGTTGTAGTGGGGGAAGAGGGCTTTGGTACAAGGGAAAGACAAAAGTCTGTAGATTATTTATAGTGGGTTTTGAAGTGTGGCCTGTGGGGGTGAAGCGTGTATGTACAGTACAGCCATGAAAAATGACTTGTTAGATGAGAATACAGGAAGTGGACGGGACCAGATCCAGTCAATTCTATATTTATAGTTATTTTCATAATTATGAGAAAATGATTAATCTTCAATAATACATATCCATTAATCCGTGGATCCATAATTCATTAATTTGGCATCTTCTTTTACTTCAACCATATTTTGACATCTGGAAAAGCTTTTACTTGAGAAAAAACAAAGAGAGATAGTGTAACTTGACTTGTAGTAGAAGAATAAATGAAGTTCATACTTGTTTCAGATTGAATTGAAGTTTATGCAACTATATTTTAATAGATTGGGTAAATAGTATAAAACATTCCTACCTTTCAATGTCATTGTGGCAAACGTCCATACTTTTCATTTTTTGACATTTTCGCCCATATTTCTACCTTTCATTTCGCAAAATATCATTTTCATCCATTTTTTACTATTTTACCCTTTATTCAAATAAAACAAACAAAAAAGAAAAGAAAATAAAGAATAATTGCAATCATATTCCTAAATTTTCTAAAAAATACAAATCATTCATTGTATTCTTATCTTGACCTCCAGCTTTATGCTCACACTCGGAAAAAACGATCTTTCAAATTTTGAATTGTTAACATTTTTAGTGAAATTTTCATGTATAAATGCATACTCAGAACCGTGAATATAAAACTTGACTTCCAATTTGCAGCTTTTTTTACTCATAGAAACAAACTTTCTTCTTGGCAGTGCAATCCTCAGACATGATCTGCAACTCTTGTTCGAACAAAAATAAAAAATAAAAAATAAAGAAAATCTTGAACTAAACATACTTCACGGCGAAGAACATGCCAAGAAAGAAGAAACATGCCCATTTTGCAGACACTTTCCCATAGTTTCTACTCTTCATAATTTCCTTCCTTTCTCTATCAATATAAATACAATTATATAAAAGTGTATTTGTTTACAATTGTGTAAAGTAGAAAAGATATAGACGTGAAATGGGGCGATGATGGAGCTGGACCATGGATATTTCTTCTCTTTTCCCCCTTTCTTATGGTAGGGTAGGTTAAACTTACCGATGACTAAAAAAAAAAAAAAAAAGCTATAAATTGGAAGTCAAGTTTTACAGATTCAATGTTCTGAATATGCATTTATATGTGAAAATTTAACAAAAAATGTTGAAGATTCAATATTTGAAAGTTTGCTTGCTTCTGGGTGATGTCAAAATAAGAGTATAATGATTGATTTTTTAACTTTTTGAAAATTTTGGACTATGATTACAATTGCTTCTTTATATTTTCATTTTGTTTTATTTGAATTGAAGGGTAAAATCGTCAAAATAGATGAAAACAACCTTCTGCGCAATAAAATGTGGAAATAGGGGGCAAAAAATGTCAAAAATTGAAAGGAAATGAAGTTTTCTATAGTGACATTAAAAGGTAGGGATGTTTTGTACTATTTACCTTTAATAGATTTGATTATATGTTTTTTTAAGTCTATTCATGACTCTTCGAAAGCAAATAATAGAAGTTAAAAAAAAGGAAAAAGGTTATGCAATTTGAAGAAGCGAAAATTCTGAGTGAGGGTTCATTCTCTTTTGTGCATAATCCTAGTTTGATTTTTTATTTTTTAATGATCACTTTCTTCCACATTCATTTTCATATTACTTCGTAACTTTTTCCTATTTTTAATCAAATGTTCGCTAAAAGAAATAAAATTCAGAGATTCATTTTTAAAAAATATTATTAAACAAGCTTGTAGTTAATTACGTTCCATACTACATTATTAATGTTTTTCAGTATTTGAAAAACGAACGAGTCTTGAGATTGGTGATCTAGAAGCATGGACTTCATATAATTGACTTTTAGTTAATAAACAAATATGATTTTTTTACGATTTTTATTTCTTTTTAATAGTTGACGAAATATTAATGTAAGCTTATATGTTATACACTAAGGGTGTGTTTGATAGGGTGTAAATGGAATTTAAATATGGAATTTGAATTGAAATTTCCAACTTTAGGTGTTTGATACAATTTTTTTCCCTGGATTCGAATTCTAGGTTGTCTTGAAGTTTGGAATTTTCTTGGTTTTTTTCTACCTACTGAAGCACTTTTTTTCCCTTTTTTTTGTTGGTAATGAAAATAAATTCTAAGAATTATTGTAAAAAAACATTTCCCTTTAAATGATAATTTTCATGTAAAACAAAGTCAAACGAACACCAAAAAATAGATGATTTTTTTTTATTTTTTTTTTGTTACCAGTGGAAACAAATTTAATTCCCAATACCAGTAAAATCTATCCATTTAATTGACAATTTTCATGTAAAACAAAACCAAACGAATATCAAAAAACACTTTTATTTCAACATTTTTCACGTGGAAAATTATACTAATCAAACAAAATAATTTACAATTCTCAGGAAAATAATTTTAGGCAATTCAATTCCCTGGAATTCATTTTCTAGGCGATTTAATTCCATCTTTACAATCAAACAGACCCTAAATTATTCATCGACTTACTAGACAGAGTAGAAGTTGTATTTAAGTCGCTGGAAAAAGCACAAATACGTCATACTAACTAGTTTCATTGAGAATATTAAGTTAATATATCTACTAATAAACAATTATGTACGTGATGGGGATCATTAAAGTTTACATTAGCATTTATAACACATAGTTAGCTTTTACAACATATTCAATCCAAGAAGGAAACCCTCCGACGAGATTCAGTCTGGCCATAGGCCGCCAACGTCAATTTTGGATTATGTTCACTGCCCCACAGCAGTTTTACCTGCCGTTATTTGAATTGTCTCCCCTCCTCTTTCAATCGAAACACTCGACGCAGATAGCTCCGGTGGCCCTTGCTTCTGCCTCTCGGTGCAAATTCTTGTTGATAGTCATTCGACCAGAATTAAGTACGAGCGAAAGATTCGTGCCAAGATTGCCATTCGTCTTTTTTACTTATTAGAGCTAAATTAAAGTCTACGAAAGGAATGCTAAAAGATTTAGTGCTATTTGTGTGAATTTCCTTAGTCTTAAATTGGCCCAAAACCCTATCCATGAATCTATTTCGAGACCCAGATTGAGTGAATGATCCAAGTTTTGTATCAAGCATAGCGGGTTTGGACTTTGGAGTGAAGTTCTGCAAATAGCAAGTGCAGCTGAGCTTCAACTTATAAGTACATTTTGTTTCAAAATAACACTTATTAGAGTTAATTTCTTTGTTTAAAAAAAAAATCACTTTTTTTAACGTCTAAGTAAAATAATGTTGGTATGTATATGGAAATAAACAAATAAATTATATCGTGTTCAGCGAAGAGAGCTTCTTCACCCATCATACATCACTATCACGTAACAATACAATACTACACAATCATCCGAGTCGGGGGGACGGAATTTTTTTACCGAATTGATACATAGAAAAAAAAATCTTAAGAATAAATGGGCATGGTGGCAGGCCTAACTCCCTCCATTCGTCCCTGTTCCTACACACATTTCATCCCAGATATGTTTTAATAGGTTCAATAAGTAATTGAAATTCTATTAATAAGCATTTTAATCTTACTTTGCATAACTAATATTAAAACACCAGTGGTGTTAAATAACATTATTTATTCACGAAAAGCCTCCAAAATTAATTATTAGTTGAAGAAAATTCGGTTGATAAGTAAAGAACAATTTAATTTAAAATTATAAAGGACTTTCGAGCTAGTAATATTAAAACTTAAACATTTTAATATTTTTATTAATCGACAAAAAATATTTTTCAGTACATAAACTAATAAAAATAAAAAATATTTTTTTTATATTACTAGAAATTTGGTTGGGAATAAAATAACAATAAAAAAATTAGAACTTAATCATTAATAACTCATAATAATTATAGAAAAAAAGGGCAGTTTTTTCATCCACAATTTTTATATGTCTATCCCATTCTAAATGATTTTATGTTATATTCCAATTTTATCCTTATCAAATTAATTCATTTAAACACTATATATTCAAAAAAAAAAAAAAATTATATTTTACTCGTTCTAAATTCTAAATCTAATCATGGCTTGGGTGACAATGACACAAAATTCATCAATCACTTGATAAGTTTTCAGTCTCAAAAGTTCACAAAATGAACGAGACAAAAGTATACTAGAACAATTTTGCTATCAATAACAAGAACAAATATGATATACTTACACTCTTTTTGACATCATCTTTCACAGTCTTCTCACATCATACGAGTGAACTATCAAATTGAGTGTACACCTAACATAATTCTAATAAGAATTTAAACAGACGAATATTTGTCATATTTTTATTTGCCGTTAAAAAGAAAACAGACAAAAATTGTCAATCATTTTAACCCTTAGAAACACGTCCCGTCACTATGGTTGTTCAAACGGCATTATTCATATTAGGACCTTCTCCCATAATTGATCATTTGGCCTCTTGGAAGTCTTTTACTCGGACATTGCGTATCATCAATGCACTAACCCACCAACCAAGGCACCAATATAATGTCAATTGAATTCGAAAATATTATTGGACCAAAAACTTATTATTCCAAAGTACAAACAATGTCTGTAGGGTCTAGACACAAGGACGAATTTTTTTAGGAAAAAACCAGTAAGTTACTATGTTTATCGTTAAGATGGGGGCCCCGGGGGGGGGGGGGGGGGGAATCTACTGCCTGCTAAAATAAGCTGCCAAACAGGCAGCAAGAGGTGTGTGTGTGTGTGTGTATATATATATATATAATTCCAGAAATCGAGCTCGTCCCTGCTCGACTCAGTAAAGCCCGAGCTGAAAGCTCGGGTCGAGTCTTAATTTTTTGACTGAGCTTTTGCTAGGCCCAGTTCGAAACAAAAAAAGCCTTTAGAAAAACTCGAGCCAAAAATTCTGGCTCACAAGCCGACTTGTTGACATCCCTAGAGAGAAGTATGCAATGCTCTTTTATATATAATATACCAGTAAACTCAAATTTAAGAGAAAAAACTATTAAAATTTTCTTTTCTAATGATATTATTCAATGTTTCCACATTTGACTG